AACCAGTCCCGCGAGCAAAGTGAAAAACTGGCGGCGCAGTCACGACAGAGCGCAGCCTCGAAAAAAAAACAACGAGTGTTGGGGAATTTTATTTTTGCTCGATTTGGAGAAAAGTGTCACTGTTAAAAATGTTATACCCAATATACGGCACATCAGACAAAACACAAAATAACACTATGATCTGGTAATGGTATCTCAAAAAAGAATGATGGTAAGGAGTAGATGTAATGCGAACGGCCTCAGCAAAGCAGGCTGACCGGGTGGTGAGCGTGACGCTGAGAAAACAAGCAGCGTTGGCGGCAAATAATAATATGTACCGCTGCTGTTTATCACCGTCACAGGCTAGCGGCTCATTGAGATTGGGCCGGCGCTCCTGCTGCTGCTGGTCACCAGCCTGGTCACCAGCCTGGGCACCAGCCGAAGGGAATTCCGAAAATTATAAAGGAACCGCACCTTGTACAGTAGCGCAAGACACGCAAGAAGAGGGAGAAAAGGGTGCTTTGAAAGTCAAAGAGCACTGAGAAAATGTTTTGGTCCTGTGCACTGGACTTTTAGTCCCAGACCGAAGGTTTTTGACGCACTAAACAATTTGCTCTAAGGACAAAAGTTTTGTTGCCTGGCCTCACATGTTCATTGCATGTCACCAAAGTTTCTGATCGCGGAAACAAAATGTTTAGTGCTGGGATCAAAATACGACGCAATAGACAACTGTCTTGCCCTAGCGAAGAACATTTTTTCTCAGCGAGGGTTTGGTATTGATAAATTTGGAATACGTTGTGCACTTTTCTAATTATGAGCGAAAGAGAGAGGTTGCGAGGAGCAGGGCAAAACGGGTGCATTTTTAATCACGACACATTCATTTTCTATCAGCAACTATTCGATGATACGGGCGCAAAAAAAAACGCTCGCAGCCCGTATCAGATCCGGCGCAACACTTTATCGAAGGTATTAAATGATTTTAGGAGTATATATAGTTCAAGGAATCAAACAGTGTAAAACTTATTATCATATTCTTGACGTGGCTTTAGCGGCATAAGAAAAACAAACAATAAAAATAATGGTTGCTATGGTCTGGCTACGCACGCGCGGCAGCCAACCCAATCCATCAGCAGCCCAGCCGGCCAATCAGGTGGCGCCGTGTCTGTCAACGAAACCGAATCGTACGGCGGCAGCGGCGGGGCCGGGCCCGGGCCGGCAGGGCCGGCAGGCCATCCATCATAATGGAAAGATACTTCCTGCCTGTCGACACCCTGACCCCCGGGCATCCCCAGCCAGGGTCCCGGCCAGGGGTGACTCATTGTTTGCACAGAGTGCACCGGCAAAAATATCAGACCACGCACACCCAACTTTTGTTTCCCCAATAGAGCAATATTTCTCAAGAACACACGCGTAGTAGGATGATTGACATTGCGAAACGAGTACAGCAGCAAATACGGTTTGATTTGAAATACGATACGCGCTCTCACAGCAGATTGTTAGCTGTCTTTTAAATTACAACTTAGAGGCATCATCTTGAGAATTTGCTAGGAAAGCTTAGCATAAGCTAAAGAGGCTTAATATTTCGTATAATAGGGTTAAAGATTTAAAAATTAATGTAGGAGTATTAGAAATCTTTCGACATATAACTCATTTCATTTCTCAACATATATTGTTGCCCGTGCATCATCACCTACATGCAACCTGTCAACCTCTCTTATGCCCACAACTAATAACATAACGTATACAGTTGCGCCCTCACAAACCACCAAAATGCCTTGTTATTACGAAGAAAAGCCTTGGAATTGCAAATCAAGTGCTTCCCAATTATTGAAAAGAATTTTAGTGTTGACGATCACTTTCGTATAGGTTTCAACTGGATAAAACGAGATGTGGCCGACTCGTATAATACTGGTTACACGCACCTTACAGTACTAGACTTTCGGAATAAACACCATTTCTGCTGAAAGGCATACCAATTGTTTTTTTCCCTTGCCAGAGAATATTTTGGCCTTATAGCGTCCATATGGCATGATTGGGATTTTAGGAAATTCCCATTTCACTGGGGTGTTATAGACCACGTAAATTCCCTGTAATAATAAATGCACAGCTTTTAGCTACATAATATATTCTTGTGAGTTCAAAGCGCCGTAACACAACAGCTTAAGCTCTTGAACATACGTTACTAAGGAAAGATAAAACAGAGGAGTTGTGGTTTCACTACTTACAGGTTTTATTATGCATGCGCTCTCTGCACTAGCACTCTGATTTAAAATTTTCTCGTAATAGTCAGGGGTGAGAACTCTTAACATTGTACACGCCTTATCTTGAAACTTGAAGACAAAGGCGTTTTCCTTCCATTGGTTTTGTGCCCAAACATCAAAATAAACTTTACACTGTTGTAATGAAGATACATTCAATCGTCTCTCCAGATTTTTACTAGCATCTTCTTAGTTTTACGATAGGCATAAATGAATATCTTACAGCAATATCTTACCCAGAGGCTATCATCCAAGGTTACATTCACACCAGTTACATTACCGGTCAGGCGTTGTAATTCTCTTGGTTTTTGTGGGTTGAAGTGACTGGTCCGAAAATAAACTCTCCACGCCATTGCCACGTTGTTTTCACACGTGTAAAAGCGCTCAATGTAAGCTGTGTAAGGGCCCTATACGAAAAAAAGATTCGAAATCGAGATGTTAAACCCACCGCCATCCACAGAGTAACAACTTGTCAATGTCACGGTAAAAAAACACCGTGTTGATGACGTAGTCCAAAGTTCACGAGGACATTTAACTTGCTAACCTACCGCGAAAGAGTTGATAGCTTTGCCGTGGATGCCGTCCTTGCACAGGAGTGTGAGCAGGGCCACAAGTCTGAATGACATATTGAAT